AAGGTGAAGATTTAAAAAATATATTTATAATATGTCTTACCTTGCGTAGAGGTAAGACATATTATAGGCGTAGAGGTCTTACCTTGCGTAGAGGTCTTGTTAATTTTTTTAGCATCTATTTTTAGTATGTTGTAGACTTATCTATTTAGTAAGGTGAAAATTTAATAAATATATTTATTTATCATTGAAATCTAAGCGTTGCATAAATATCTTGTTAATTATTTGTCGGAAAAAAGTGGCATTAGACTTTTTTCCTCTATTTGATCTCAAGAATATATTATTATAATAGCGCCCAGACTTTTGTTAATTTGATAATTTTGAAATTTCCAAAGGTCAATAAGTTAATAAAAGTTAGGACACTATTGTAACAATATATTTTTGAGATCAAATAGAATAAAAAAGTCTAGTACTATTTTTTCTTCCGATAATAAATAGTTAGCGAGATATCGTAAGTTAAATGTTGAAAAAGTTATCAAGTTTTCCTAAAATATCTTAACAAATATGAGGCAAATAAAAAAATGTTTCAGACAAAAGTTGTTAAAATTAATTGGCAGAAAAAGATGATATAATAAAAATTGGGGTTTTCATTTGAGAAAAGTAATGATCAGTGAATACCTGGAAAGTGACGTCATCTGTAAACAAAATGATAAAATTGTTTTATGTCCCCCTTGGAACCATATAACTTGTGTCTGAGACATTTTTTCCTGAAATATTTAGTTTTGCATTTCCCCGTTCCGGTACTTTTTATACACCTTATATAATCGCACAGTGCATTTTTTTTGTATTGGCTCTACACGTGAATAATGTATTTATTATTTATATGCGTATTATATAATTATGGAGCATAAAATATTTACATACACGCGTGTACAAGTATACGAACACATATATTTATTATAATAGCTGCAGTACGTAGAAGAGAAAATTGTGTGCGCGCACGTGTGTGCGTGTGCATGTGTGTGTAAAACTGGCGACTCATTTCGCTGAAATTCACGTTGAACTGTTGAAAGTTCTGCTTTTTTTCTTAATAATTTAGAGAGAGTTTCTAATTAGGTTAATTAGATTAACTAGGTTAAACAAATAGTTCCTCCATTTAAGCAAAAAAATAGATCCGGATAATCTGACATTCATGTTGTGCCCCTTATTTCCGTTCTTATTATTAGATAAGTTTTGTTCTATACAAATTCCACCATCATATTTCGATAGATTTTGCGGGATCTATAGTTTTATATTCTATATGAGTTTTACATTCTATAAAAAATTTCTGTCATAAAAGTAAAAATTTATTATAGTTACATGAACACTTGCAACCATAATGTAATAAGCTAAACGAATTGAGATGTTAGTCAAAATTTCGGAGTGTGGTAGCATTTTTAAAAGAGTACTCGTATAATTCTGTACATACAAAGCTATCCGAAAAATATCCGACCTTAAGCTGTAGCAGGAAAAGTTAATTTTGGTCAATGGTGACGACGTCCCTTTCAAAGTACTCCCTTTTGAAAACCATAATTTTTTCAGCGATCCTCCCATTGTCGGAAGCGTTCTTTATATTCAACTTTCGGAATAGCTAACAGCTATTTCGTCGCATTCCTTTTTATTTCCTTTACATCATCAAATCTTCTTCCTTTTAGAGAATTTTTCCATTTAGAAAACAGCCAGTAGTCACAGGGAGCCAAATCAAGACTGTAAGGGGGCTGACGAAGTTGAACAATTTCGTGTTTCACCAAAAATTGCTGGATAAACTGCGATGAATGGGCAGGTGCGTTGTCATGATGAAGCCCAGTCATCACTTTTCTACAAATCAGGCAGTTTCCTTCTCACTGCATTACATAATCGCTTCAGAATTTTTATTAGGTCATACTCTTTGTTCACCGTTAACTTTCTGGAACATATTCATGGTGAACAACACCTTCCTAGTCAAAGAAAACTGAACATTACTTTGATGTTGATCCGACTCTGACGCACCTTCTTGGGTCGTTGTTCTTCAAGCGTCCTCCACTGTGAAGATTGGACTTTTGTCTCAGAGTTATAATCATAAGCCCATGATTCGCCGCCATAGTTGTTGGCAAGTTTTTGGCAAAATTTAATGCAGACTTTTTGTTCGATGCGTTTAGTCATTATGAAATGCGACGCGCACAAGGTTCAATCTTTACACAACAGTATAGCGTTGTCGACTGAACAACTGTTGCATCGTGCATGCGTTTGCGTTGCGTTTAATGAGGGTATTCAAAAAAGTCCCCTTTAAATGGTGAATACCTTTTGACAATAGTTCTCTTAAGTTCAACGTTAGAGCATAAGGCTGGATACTTTCTGGACAGATCTCGTATTTACACACATTTTAAATAGTTATAGTGCTGTTATTTTTTAAACAATTATACTGTTCGTGCCTAGCTTATTTAGACATAACTAAGGTATCCTAAATTTGACTAGAAACTAAAACGGCCACCGGATTTAGATCCATTTCTTTTTTTAGGGATACATTAAAGACAGTTGTTAAGCTGGAAATTCAAAAATGATGTCAGATTTAGTAGCAACTATTTAAAAAATCGTCGGTAATATTAAAGACAACATGTTGGAAAAAGTTTTTACGAGTTTTCGTAAAAAATTGAGTTTTATACAAAATCAGATAGTGCGCATTTCGAAAACGTTTATCACTAGCTTATTTGATCGCTAGCATGTTTTTTATCATTTTTCATTAATAAAGTAAACTGATAATTACCATTTTTAAAAATTTATTTATATCATTAAAAACTATAGACTCTCTTTCTTTTAATTTTTGTTTTTACAATAAATGAAGACATTTGAAAATGACAGCTGATTAATTTCAGCAACTTCCCATGGGACACCATGTATTACATATACAAACATGTTATAAGGTAATGAATACTTGAACTTTAAAGATTCTTAAGGCTCCGGGTTCGGTTTACAAGTGAGGTGGATTGTAAAGGAGGGTTGTGAATGAACAAAAGAGTCTCGCCTTTCTTTTATTCTTTGTTTCTTCTGATACACTGTAATAGAGGTGTTTTGAAGTATATGCGTATCTACAAATCATGTGCAAATACACTGCTCAAAAGAATTATGGCATAGATAATTTATTGTTAAAAATTGGCCAACTTTGACTGGCGATTACTTCGCGAAGAATTATTGTAGACTAATGATTTTTTTTTTCAAAATGAAGCTTGAAGTCTCTACTTTAAGAATGTATCTCCATTTTTTGCATGCAATGCACTCCTACCCCTGTAACCTCTGATATCTGAGGGCATGTTTGGTATACTGAAAATTGCAAAGTTTGACAGAATGCACGGACGTGGACAATTTTTTTCGGGGACGCCGTTTGCATCGTCATAAAGTTCAAATCTTCCCCTTCAATTTGAAAAAAAAATGGAATCGCTACAATTTTTTTTCGCAAAGTTACAGCCTTTCAAAATATCGTTGTTTTTACCTCTTTGAAGCTGGCAGGACCAAATTGGCAGAATCGAAACGCACCTATCAAATTTTGTAGTACTTATTTTGTGCTAATTTGTGCTATTAATAAAAATGTTGTACCTCGTGCCATTTTGAAAAAAATCGTGGCGCTACTACCTTCATATGAAGTCAGCAGGACTACAACAAAAAATAATTAAAAAATAAAAACACTTACATAAATAGAAGGAGCATAATTTGTGCTAATTTGTTCCATAAAAGAAAATTTGCTATTTTGAAAAAAAGTGGCACTTTACTCTTGAGCGTAAGCTGAGTCTGTGATGAAGAAGGTTTCTGAAGAAATGCCGCGAGTACAAAATCTGCAATTACATATTTTAGTAGCATAAAATAAGCGATATTTATTGCAAAAGTCGCGACTCGATTCTGCTCATTACAAGTGGCACTTTACTCTTGAGCATAAGCTGGGTCTGTGATAGTTTTTGGAGAAATGGGGAAGAAAGGTTGGACTCCTTAAATAACTTTGAAAATATGCAAGAAAATAATATAGAAAATATGCATAGAAAATAATATTAAATATGGAAGTTGTAGGATTTCAAGTGACGCATCACATAGCAATATTAGTATAAACAACGATATCAAGATTACAGGCAGGTCACTTTGAATGTTTTAAATGGAAACTCCTATTTTTATTATATTATTAATATCTTTTTCTACCAATTAATTTGAACTTTTTTATTTTGAAATTTCCAAAAGTTATCAAATTAACAAAAGTTAGGACACTATTGTAATAGCATATTCTTGAGGCTAAACAAAGTAAAAAAGTCTAATACTACTTTTTTTCGACAAATAGATAACGAGATATTATAAGCTAAATATTGAAAAAATTACTAAGTTTTTATAAGTATCTCAAAAAAAAATATTAGACAAATAAAAATATTTTTCAAGCAAAAGTCCAAATTAATTGGTACAGAAAATGATATAATAAAAAATGGGAGTTTCTGTCTAAAAAATTCAAGGTGACCTTCCTATAACTTTGATGACACTGTTCAAGGTCATCAACCATACTAGTATTGCTATGCGATGTATCAAATAAAACCCTATAACTTCTGTGTTTGATATTTTTTTCTATTTTGCATATTTCTAAAATTATTCAGGAAGCCCGACTTTTTTCCCCATTTTGTATGTACGAGATGTATACATTTACATTTTTGTTGATGCGCCTCTTTATATAATCTCGTGTGTATTTGCTTTCACACGAACAAACCTCTGACCACAATTGCGAGTTGACGAAGCTTTGCCAGTCTTTCCGCATTCTCCTTCCTCTCTCGTCCCGCGACTCTAAACTTTTATACCTTATAAGTTTATCAAGAGTCGTAAACACTCAGCTGTTGTTTCCATTTCTACTGTATGTGCGTGTAAATAAGTGCGTAACTTAGCAAATTATTTAATGGCTGCGATTTTGCTATCTCGATCAAATTAAATCTAATCTTGTGCAAAAATGAAATAATTTTTGTTTTGCTTGCTTGAGTGTTTTTGGCACAAACGATCAATTTTTCGGGTCTCCTTTTTGCCAACAGGCTTGATCGGCCGTAGGAAAGTGACCGCAGGTGGTAGTCGTCGAAGAAAAACAACAAGGGCAAAAACAAAGATAACGACGACGACGGCGAAGAGAAGTCGATCTGCCGTCGAAGGTGAGGCGAGGTGGAGTCCGGTGAAAAAAAGAAGAAAAAAAGAAAGGTTGAAAGCGGTGCGGAAGGGACATCGTGAGGGAGAAGGAGAGAAAAAAGGCAATGGTGGTAATGTTGGAAGTAGTGGTAAAGGAAAGAAAGAGGTCGAAAAGTTGAGTGACCTATGATTTATGAGTAGATGGTAAGGAAAGGACAACAAGGTGGAGTTACGTAGGCGGATAAGGAATAAAAAGAAGACTATCGAGAAAGGACGGAGAAATGATCTTGGTAGGTGACTGGCAAAGTACGATGATCGATTTCTCGACGAAAGGCAGATAGCGTCACAACTAGTTGTCGCTAGGGCACAAAATATCGAGCTCATGCGCGTTGTGGCCCTAGCTGTGGATGAGGAGGGAGAGGAAGACGACGAAGAGGAAGAAGACAAAGAGAAGGAGGAGGAAAGAAAGGAGAAGAAAGAGACCGGAGAGCCAACAGCGACGGAACAAAGGAGATACAAGAGACACCACTGGGTCCACGGGCCTGCGATGCGCCCCGTGGTAACAACGGTAGTAGGGGATAAGAATCGACGGCCTAATACAGCGTGTTTGATTTTCTTTGTGCCGTCATCACCACCGCTGCTACTGTTGTTGCTGTTGCTGCTATTGCCCACTTGGATTTTGACGATCGTCGTCGATGCGTCGCCCGTTCATCCCATTCCATTGCATAAAGGTGAGTTACATTAGTCTTCTTTCATTAATTTGTTAAAATAGCGAAACTCGCAAATTTTTCGATTGGATAAATTAGATTTATTTTTAAAATTTTGTAGTATTTATATATTTATATAGTTAAAAGATGTCCCAAAATTCACGCAAGAAGTAATTTTGATAGAAAACAGGTTTATAATTAAAAATTGTAAATTTTTTTATTGATTCATAAAATATACAGTAAAGGGTTATGTATGGAATAGCATATCGGGTAAATGGCCTCCACGGCTTTGCTGGCACATATGCATTCTTTTGTTGAAATTTTCCATGATCGTTTTGCATAAATGTGGCTGAATTTCGTTGATACAGCGCTCAATTTCCTCCTTCAAGGCGTGGGTGGTCGTGGGCTTGTTGGCATAAAGGACTTAGACTTTAAAAAACCCCAAAGAAAAAAAGTCCAACGGCGTTAAATCGCATGATCTGGGCGGCCAAATCTGATCACCAAAACGGGAAATTACACGACCAGGAAATGACTCATGCAGTAATTGAATTGTTTCTCGGGCTGTATGGCATGTGGCACCGTCTTGTTGAAACCACATGTCCACATCCATATCTTGCAATTTAGACACAAAAAACTGGATTATCATGTCGCGATAGCGAGCACTATTAACTGTTATTGCCTGACTAGCCGCATTTTCGAAGAAGAATGGTTCGATGATGCCTCCAGCTCAAAATCCGCACCAAACAGTGACACGTTGTGGATGCATTTGTTTCTCAACAATCACTCGTGGATTTTCTGAACTCCAAATGCGACAATTTTGTCGATTAACCAAACCATCAAGATGAAAATGAGCCTCATCGCTGAAGATGATTTTGTTCGAAAAATGAGCATCCACTTGTTGTTGTTCCATAATCCATTCAACGAACTCTCTTCACTGTGCGTGGTCAGTTTAAAAACCCTAAACTGTCAGTTGTCACGCTGTCTTTTTTTTTCGTTAGCAACACTTTACCGCACAAATGGCGCAAAACTCAAATCTTGCGTGAATTTTGGGACACCCTTTATTATATAGGGTCTGCCAAAAGTTCCGGAACAGCTAATTATTTCAGAAAATAATGATTGTTTAAAACAATGTTTGAGACAAAAATTGTAAGGCTTAAGAAAAGCTATCAGATATTGATAATTGTTTGACCTTGGAATGACCTTGAGAAATGTTATCAAGGTCGACATAAAAATCTTAAATGGAAACTCTAATTCTTTATTACACCGTCTTTTTCCACCAATTAATTTGAACAACTTTCTGTCTGAAACACTTTTTTATTTGCCTAATATTTTTTGAGATATTTAAGGATAACTTGGTAACTTTTTCAATATTTAACTTACGATATTTCGCTAACTGTTTGTCGGGATAAAAAAGTGGTACTAGACTTTTCTATTCTACTTGGTCTCAAGAATATATTGTTACAATAGCGCCCTGACTTTTGTCAATTTGATGATTGTGAAATTTCGAAAGATCTGCTTAAGACCTAACCTAGGTAGACTGTAGTAAACCGATAACGTCGATAACAAAAACCCAAGTGTTTTGAAAAAAAATTCTCTGCACATGGTGGGAGCAGAAGGGTTGCGATGAGGAAATGCTAAATGTAGTATAAGGTCTTGGAATCGGGTAAATCCATTAAAGCAGAGATTTATCAAGAACATTGATGTCTTTGAGCGATAAAATTAAGAAAAAATTCCATTTACTGGATAAAGCAGCCATAAAGTCATTCTGCTGCACGACAATGCTAAATCGCATAAAGTAAAGCCACAAAGGAAACCATCTTATGCTTAAGCTAAAAAGTTCTCCTATATACGGCGTGTTCTCCAGACTTGCCTCTATTAGATTTTCGCTTATTTCGGTTGATGCAACACGTATTGCCTGATACACATTTCTCGACAGTTGATGACATACGAATTCATCAGTGACTTTATAACCTCAAAGCCACCAGTTTCTATCGTGATGGGATTCGGTAATTGCCCAATGAATAGTGCAAGGTTATTCGATAACAACGGAAAATATTTCCATTGTTGAATCTTGGTTAATCTTGTTCTATTGATTTTTAAATAAAGATTGAAAATTGTCGAAAATCGGAAAGAATTAACAAAATCTTATACTTGGCAAATATAGAGAAAGAATTTTATTAGTAACAAATTAATTTCTTAAATTTGATAAAATATTTTTATAAGTTTCTTTTCTTTAATTTAAGAAATTCATAGTGCGCGCGCGCGCATACACACACGCATACAAAGTGCTTGCAAAAATTCATAAGGTCACGAATAGATGGCTGTAGCAGCGACTTAGTAATTGTTATTTTTTGAGCTACTTTTTTAGTTTCCAAATATTGACCATATTCAATCAAAATTGATAGTTGATAATTCATAATTACAAACCATAGAACGTCATATTTAACATGATTCGGAATGGAATAAAATAAAATTCATCTTCGTCACTGCTTTACCACTTTAATCCAGGTGCAACAATTAAAACACGAAGTTGTGAAACCTGTGGAGAGAATATTATGTCCGCCGCTATTTGTGAGAAGTAGCTTAATAAGTTTAGAAATAATGATCAGGATGTCAACGACAAATCACGTTCATGTCATTTAAACGAGATGCAGAATAACGAATTAGAAACATTGCTCAACGAAAATTCGAACGTTAAAAAAACTTATAGGGAAGCTTGTAGTTGATAAATTAACAGTATGCTTCTATGTGAAAGCAATAAGAAGATCCAGGAGGAAGGAAGATGGCTTCTTGGTGAACTCTTTACAAACGTGAATGTGAATCGACTTATTATCTGTTTTTCATTGTTTGTCAGCTATAAAAAATTTTTTTTGTGACGAATAGTTATGGGTGATGAAAAGTGGATCTATTTTGACGGTTCTAAACTCAAAAAGTCGTGGATTGATCTCGATCAAATATTGATATCTGCAACAAAACGCAACATCCATGGTCATAAACTTTTTTATGTATCTACTGGGACTAAGGAATGTTTTACTATGATCTATTACTGGAATTTATTACTGGAGTAGATACTAGGAGATCAACAGATAATGTAGTTGTCAGTGCAGACAATCATGGATTAGATTGGGAAATCCTGCCGCACCTAGCGTGCTCTTCAAACATCGCTTCATTTGATTTTCATTTATTTAGATCGATGCAGCATGGTCTATCTAATATATAGTTTCGAAATGCTAAGGAATTGCGAAAATCTTCCGAAATAAAGGAATGAATTCCATAATTCAACAAAGGAAAAGTACCATCTGTGCAAAGTAATAACGAAGGAAGTGACAGAGGAAATGACCATCAACGTCATCTTCAATCTACATTAACTAATTTATCTTTTATGGTAAAAATTAAATTCTCAGTATTAGACAATCACAAAAACACATGCGATTATAAATTAATGCCAGGATTATCAGTAAATTTAATCAAAGATAATTATGTCCCATTACAAGCACGCACACCCATGTCAAACAATATTAATTCTTACTTTGATATTAATAATATTCCTTTAATGATCCTAACTATAGTATATATACTATAAATATATAAATATATTTGAGACAAAGATTATTAACGATATTAAAATAGAGATTAAATTTCTTATTGCTCCTGATAAGACTATGATATTCTCCTGCAGGTCGAGATTTTATATCATCGTTCAATATAAAAATCTTTATGAACAAAGATTGTACAATGTCAACTAATAATGATAAAATTATAAATAATGCATATAATGAAACTAATAACTTTATACAATAAACTACACATATAGAATATCTCAACAAACCAAAAATAACAGATAATCTAAATATTAACCCAGAAATAGATTTTGCAGTGATAGAAAAATTAAAAGAAATTTATATTCAAACGTATACGAGTATTACTGAAACTGTACTGCTGTACTGACACTATTAATAATAATAGAGAAATCAATATCGTTTTAAAACATAATCAACCAATTAGCTTCAGACCAAAATGTATTTCCCGATAAATAAAAATTACAAAAAAAGAATTTAGATGATCTACTAAAAAATAATATAATTCAAGAAAATATTAAATAGTCTTTGTGCAAGTCCTATTGTTTTAGTGCATAAGAAAAATGGTGAATTATGCTTATGCATAGATTACAGCGAAATTAATAAAATTACAATTAAAAATAATTTTTCTACATAATTAATAGATGATCATTTAAACAAATTACACGATAAGAAATATTTTGGCAACCTCGACTTGCGCAATGGATTCTATCATATCAAAACGGCTACATCAATAAAATATACAAGGTGTTCGGTAATTAGCTGCCAACCCGAAGTGTGAAGGTAGATTGGGTTAAGACAAACATAAAAGTCCCATACCGTTTTGCAAAATTTGCAATAATTATCGTGTTATTAATGACAGAAATCTGAGAAGTGAGAGCGCGCTGACATAGATGATTGGAGAATACTGATCTGTATTATAACTGAATAGCGAATACGCCGAATTTTCTATGCCCATATGATCGGCGCCATGTTGGAAAAAGCTTGTCAATTTCAGGCGTTATCGGAAACCGTCATGAATCGTCGTGTGCGTAATCGTATATATGCATCGTTTCGCGAAAAATATTAACGCATTGAGTTAGAAATTATTCAGTAGATTAAATATATGTATAAATATATGGTCGTAAATATTTTTGAAGGAAAAAATAATTATAATATATACAGAAAAGTTGTAAAAGTATTGATCATATTTCAATGTGTACATAAAAGTAAATAATTTTTAAAGCAAAACACTGGAAAAATAGTCTTGGGAACACTATTATTAAATGTGGTAAGAAATATTAAATATAACGATAAATTGTTTACAGATATATAATTATAAATTAAGGTCGATTTCATCGTAGTAATTGAAATTGTCTTAATATAAATAAATGTTGTAAATAAATGATTGATTAATGTAAACTTTATTATACATACAATTAATGTAAACTTAATTATACATACAAT